TATTAAATTAGTATTAAATCCATATATGTAGGAACAACAAAATACAAAAATCATGTACAATATTACTTCATTAAATGTAAATGTAATGTAACAAACCACAATTCTCCACAATGGGATCTAGATTAATGATCACAGGAGGAATAGACTCATGTCCCTGAGATGTTCCTGGGGCTGGCATATTTCCCCGATGTGCCACTGTGACGTCTGTGCTACTGGCCCTTGCTGTCTGACTCTCCTGTGGTGTGCTCAACATGCTCACATATCTGTCTTCACTTTGAGATGGGCTGGAACTTTCTGTCGCTACCTCCATTTGTACCTCAGCAGTGCTCTGCAATGGTCTTAAATAAACAGAGGTGAACTCGACATGTAGATTTTTTACAGAGTGATATCTTTGAAAACAAATTTGCAACATATGGGCCTGTGCAAATAAAAAAATAAACAAAATAATAAACAAAAAAGATATAGATTTTTTGTATTGCCCATACTTTTCTTATAGATTTTGCACTACAAGACTGATATTACATCGACATACTATCATGGTCTTGTACATTTGTTGGTGAACTCACACTGCCTCATGCCAAGTAAGCAGTGCTCGAACTTAAGGAGACCTGGGGGATCCAGGAGCCCTATTAGGGCATTAGGGAATTTCCATTAGAAGTAAAAAAAAATAGATTTAGAGTGGTCCCTCGTATATTTTTTAAGATAATGATGATAAATTTGATTAATAAAAAATCTCATTGTGGAGACTCCCATAAGACTTGATTAAATTCGAGCACTGGACATATGGCACATGTGTTACGCATGTGATGTTTTACCAGTGTAAAGCAATACCTCATACATTCATCACTATGAGCTTTGATACGTGAAAAAGGAAACTCTTCTCCACAAGTGACACATTTCTGAGGTGGTCCAGCTAGCTCACTACTGCAGTCTGGTTGACATATCTACAGAGGAGATGATTTTAGTATTTAACACAACACTGATGTGACTGTCATTCTAAGTCACTTTTTAAGAAGGCAACAACAGCTTTAACATTAGGAACTTACAGGCTCTAGATTTAGGTTTCTCTGAAGTGGTCGAATGAAAATGGTGGCATGACCAATCTGGGTTTGTGGATCTTTCAAGTGTCTGATGTGGTAGCCCTCATTGGGACATGGAATGATGGTCAGTAGGCGACTTCGAGTGGTTCCAGCAATTTTGAGCAATTCGAAGCCACCACCTTGTCTGAGTTTTGGAAACTCAACAAAAAGGAATTCTTTGAATTCATGTGGGCTTGACTGACTTCCTGAAACAGATAGAAAGACAAAACAGATAACAATATAAAATTTTCAACAATGAAAGTTAGTGTTACTAAATCTGTATTCAGTATCGTGATGCCTTACACACCTTGAAATGTAAGACGTTTCTCCCCTAACCCAGCAGCAGCAAGTCTCTGTTTAGCACAACGATTAGGGACTAAATCCACTGTTTTATCATCAAGACAGCAGAACACATGAGTGTAAGAACTTAGTTGTGCTGGCACAGCAAGGGATCGCCGACTTGTCGACCTTCTCCCTCCGTGTGTATATGGGCCAAACAGACGTAAAACCTCAGCTGGCAAGAAAATCATATGGCGAGAACAGTGTAAAAACAAGAAAAAAAAACTTAGTACAAGAAAAAAATCTTCATCACCAGCAATTGTGCATGTTAGGTAACTTATCAGATTCCCATTTCTTTGCTTTAATAGTTTTATTTTTAATGTGCATGGGCTACAGTTATAGTTAGTGATGCACCAAAATGAAAATTCTGGGCAGAAACAGAAACAAAAATTACTTTATTTTTCAATTTGATTTCATTAATGTTATCCTTTAACACACTAATAATTTAAATGAAGACAACAGGCAAAGCAGAGTGGCAGTGGGTCTGTTCATGTAAACGTGCTGAAAATGCACTTCAGTGATATCAGCATCTGCCGCATGACAGTCCATGAGCTACTGAAAATTACATCATCAGTATAGAATTGTGTAAAGAATTGTGCTATAATAACCCCTACAAATACAACTCATTATATACACTATAACCACTTTAAAAGAAACAGACATGTATTTTGTGAAATATGTTCTCTGTTTTGGAGGGATGATCATTTTTAAATTATACCCTATTTATTGCATCAAAATCTCTTAATAGCCTACTTTACTATAGTTAGGGGTGGATAATTTTATTGCTTATTATTCTTGCACCAATACATATTACTGTTATAGTTTTTATTAATAACCATTGCTATATAGCTGATAACTTTGTCTAGTGCTCTTATGAATGTTTTAGCATGATTTGTGAAAATGTAACTACTATACAGAATGACATAGCATAGACCTCTTCATGGCTAGTGTTTGCATATTTAATTTCACTCTGTAACCTACTTGTTTTACATATCTGTGTACAAATGTTAAATGCTACTGTTTTGACAGTGTTGATAATGTTTCAGACAGAGATAATATCATGATTTTCTGCGCAGTGAACACACCAGTACGCCAGCCTGCCATTGACGCACACCAGAATTTCTTATAAGCATCAATCAAGATGGCGGAGAAAAAATGAACATCTTCTTTTAACCACTGACACAAAAGTTATACCACATTCATATTCGTCTCATAATCCGTATTCATGCACAGTCATGTCAACCAGATACTGAGAGAGAGATTATTTGTAGTAATAGTGTGTGTTGACTGAAATAAGTTTGTATGAATAAAGTTTTTGGAGAATCATAATATCTCTTATCTGTTGTATTTGAGGAGGACAGGGATGCACTTTGATGACACATAAAACAAATTCCCAACATTATGTGTCTTTTGTGTCTTTCCATAATTTCCATCATGTTTGATGTGCTTGCAGATCACAAGCATTTCCTAATTTCACTTCAGAATTTTTTGTTATACTTAATCTTTTGTTATATTTTTTATACTTGTCATCATTTGTAAAGTATATACTTTCCTTTACCTTTACCAAATTTACCTGTATTTACTTTGTTTTCATATTTGGCGACTTTTTGTGAAAAATTGAGACTTTTGAGGGTTGTTCTAGAGATTTTCTGAGGGAGGGGTTTGGCAACACTGACTGCTCACAACTCTCTCAAGCCTCGTTCAGTCCGCCAGTGTCTCGCAGCGATCATTTTCATACCGCTAAACACTCTTGCAAACTGTCTAAACTGAATGATACATGTCGTGCAGACATATGAGGAGTTTAACAGCAAATGAGTCATTCAGATAACAAATTTTATGTTTGAACATGAAAAATTGACCGAGGTCCGGGCTTCGGTGACCTCATAGCTGGTTACGGGCCTGTGTAACGTTAGACCATAGAGAAACATAAAGCGCGATCACGCGCATCAAACAGGTCTTGCGTGTCATTTCCTGTCTGCTGCTTTTGAGCTTTTCTTGTTATATTTATTGGTTTTACTCGTTGTTATGATGGGCTCGATATGATTGTCCTTTGATAGCGGCTGGAGTGAAAGTGTGTGTAAGCACTGACAGAAGGGGGGCTAAAGATATTTTCGGCATATATTTTTGGCCATTTTCTTTCGGCTAAAAACCGACAATGCCTAGTTATAGTGTACCCCAGTAATTTAGCACTTTAAAATTTTGATGTAGAAGAAACCTACCGTCCACTGGATGTCTGGGTGTAAGTGACGGAGGAGGCGAACTTGGCGCGCTTGAGGCACCTAATCCTAACGTACACAAAAACGGCCTGATTAATATATCGGATGTATATCAGTTATTCATTTAGCTACTCATTATTTTATCAACCTATCAGATATAAACAGGAGAAACTTACTGTTTTCAAGCTGGTCAGCTACATCCTAATAATTCATTTCTAAATGTAAAAACAAACAAACAAAATACTCTCCAAATTACTGCACACATTGTTAACATAAAAGTATCAGTTTATTTAAAAAAGCAACTAATAAAAAAAGCAGCATAATACATGTAAGGAACAAAAAAATGTTCAGTTAGATTCAGTTCTTACATGCGAAAAAAAAGTTACAACAACAATATATATATATATATATACTGTATATATGTGACAAACGCATTTACAAAAATTCTAGACAGTGAATATGGAACTGAACTGAACAACTAGTTGTTAATAATGTATTTATATGCATATCAGAGTTGTGCCTTTCTTCCGTATGCTTAATAGGCATCGCCTATAATAAGTGGACATGGCAACACTTCAAGAGTGTGCTCTGCGAAACAGTACTGACATATCGACAAACAACCCACAGCATGATGTTATAGGAGCTTAAAAACGGTTTCAAACTTCCTCTTGAATACTTCCTTCAGCCTTGAGGTCATTCTACTCGAGTCACTGTCCTACAGAGAACATAGAGAGAGGGGAAACAAAGTAGACCTTAGTATATAAAAATAGGATGGCAAAAGAAAAAGGTTAAGACTCATGTCTTTGGTAAAAGTTGCATAAGGTTAAAATGAAACTCACTTCACTGGAAGTGCAACAGTTATTGAAAATCAGTTCAATATCTGTGACAAACTCTTGTACTGTTCGATAATCATTATTCTCCAAGTTCAGCTTCACTCTGCCCAGCATCATGGGACCACAAATGTTCCCACTGAATCCTGGAACCTAGACACCAGCAGTTCAGATGTCACATACTGTGCATATACACCACATATAAGAGCTGTAAATAATGACTAAGAGCCAGATGAAGCTCCTAAATATGAGATTTACTTTGGCACAGGGGTCGGTCATGCTCTCGTGTAGCAGGTGTAACAGCAGGTACTGGCAGTGCTAGAAGAGAATCAAACAGACTGTAAGTGTTAAATTATTATTTTTTGTCTATACAATGAAAGCAATGTCGTTTTGGACCCCATTTACTTCCATTGTATGGGCTAAACAATTGCATAAACTTTACCAGTGTGTACTGAGAGACTGGACTGCTCAAAATATCCTGTTGGGTCTTTTGATTGAAACTTTTCATCTTCTTCATCACACAAAACGTGCAGCTCCACTGGCTTCTGTGCACACAAAACACACACTATTACACAAAGTCAAACGTCTAGTCTGTCTAATCCAGCATGATTTCTCTCTCTCTCTCACCCAGGTGAGTCTTCATGTACAGCTGGTAGGTGACAGTGTGAATGAAAAGCTTGTGGACACTCATCACAACACACGAGATCTCCCTCAGAGTCACACACGAAACACACGTCATCATTCTGCTGGGACAAGAGTTCACAGAGGACGTTTAGTTGTCATGCTGGTCTGCTGATGTGGCTGTGATTGTAAGTGATGGTGTCTTACTAGGTATTGTTCCAGGTCTTTACAGATCTTACAATCGCAGTTTATCATATGCAGATCCAAAACACTTTTCTGAAAAGCATGTGTGAACGAAGCGTCAAATTATTTCAAAGAGTTTAAAATGTACGTTTAAAATGTAAAAAAAAAAAAAAGAATTAAACTTCAAATTCTCAAGTCAGTAAAGTCGATCACTAAATAAGAGTACCACTTTGAGGAACACATAGCATGTACTATATACATGTGTAACAATGTAATACTAATCTATGCCTACACAGAAGAAAGCCATGCCTATGTGCTGCCCCAGTATGGTTTGTGTCAAGCCATTCGTTAGTCAGGTTGACTGATAGAAAGATAAGAACGGTAGAAAGTATCTCTTTTTTTAACACAGTTTTCATTTTTTACCATTATGAGTTTCCCCAGAGGTTCCCCATTGGATAAAATGTCTTTTCTCCATGTTCCTTCTGGTTTGCTCACTCTGATGAAATCCTCAGGTGTCAGCCAGAAGTCGTTTGTTCTTATGCATCTCCCACAACGCCCTGGAATAACAACACTGAAGCTCTGTACCATAATAAGAGTTTAAGAAACTCTTATAGCTATGCATTACACCAAAAAGTATTTGAGCACTTCAGTCACACATAAATGTCTAAATGTCACTGCAGTAGATATTAAATATCAAACCAAGTGGCACTTGCAAGTAAATGCTGCCAGAGCTTGACTTTTCTTCACTGTTGCTCCGAGACTTTTAATCAGCTGGTGTTTTGGTGATTTTTGTGACATACTTTGCTTAAAGTATAAGTGTGCTAACTTTCTTAAGAAGAAATAACACTTAGTTTGATATTTTGTATCTGCAATGACATCCAGGCGTTTTTATGTGTGCCTAAAGTGTCCAAACATATTTAACCAACACATAATATATATTAATATATTTGTAGCAATTTTTTTTTAAATATATGCCCACTCACACACCTGTGGCAAAGCGATATTTGTGTAGGATGCCAGAGCCAGAACCACAGGTAACAGGTAGGGTTGGACCTTCAAACACGGTCATGTCAATGATATCTTCATCATTCTCATCAACAACTTCGCCATTGTCATCATCGTTCCTGCCATTTGATTCTACAACAAATGCACAAACACTGAGGAAACAGAATATAAAGAATACTGAAATAGAAAACTGCTGACATTAATGAGCGTATTGTCTGGTTATGGGTCACTATTATACTGACCAGAGCAGGAGGGAAACAGCGGTCTCTGACACTGTGAAAATTAAGAGATGCAGGCATGTCAGTGACGGGGAAATGGGAAATGGATTTTTTTTTTTATGTAAAGTCATCATAACAGGATCTAACCTTTCTTTTTCTGAGTCTGTCAGCAACAAGTGAGGATTCAGGAGTGTCAATCTGTGCAACAGACAGAGATTGAGTGAATATATGAGAACATAATATAATGCCTGTTATTTCACAAAATATATGTTTTGTGGTCATTTTTGTGCTAGTTGGTTACAAAAACAGTCAAACCTGTTTATTCTTAATCTGGCTTTGCTTAAAGGATGACAGACGTCCAGCCTATGGATGGAAGATGTGCTCAGCTTATCAACACTGATATATGTTATTGTTTTACATGAATTAAAGGTGGGGTATGTATTTTTTCAAAAAACGCTTTAGAAAACTGAGTCGGCCGAGTACCAAAACAAACTTGTAGCCAATCAGCAGTAAGGGGCGTGTCTACTCATGATGTGGAGGAGAGAGCGCTCAGTGCACAGGATGGACATTAGCCGAGCGACGACAGAAAGATAGAGATGGCGAATAAAAAACAAAAGAGGAAAACGTCTGCGGAACCAGCGCTGGAGAGAACTCGAGGAGCGGAAGGCCTGCGATCGGACGCCGAGGTTGCTTTGTTTCTTTTTGATAGGTGAGTAACACCGTGTCTACACCAGACGCGTGAGTTGTTGCGCCGCGCCGCAACAGCTAAAGTCTGTCTACACTGGACACGATAAAACGACCGTTGAAAATCATTTGAAATTTCTGTCAATACGTCATAAATAGAACGCAGCAGCAGTTTTTTGTCGGGATTTGTCGTGTCGTGCTGCGCCGCATCCAGTGTAGACTATAGATATGTATATATATATCTATGGTGTAGACAGCATCACTGATTATAATGAGTTCTATAGTATTTTGTCGCGCCGCTCGCGTCCGGTGTAGACACGGTGTAACATTGGTTTTGCTTTGTTTCACAAAATCTAATCTAAGACTAATCGTTGCCTGGGTTGCGTACGTATATGTGGGGAGGAGCTATCAAAATAGGGGCGAGACCCTTTTGGGGTAGGGGCGTGTTTGTTTTGGTGGTTTGAAATATAATCATTGGCTACCAGAGATTACTTACCCCACTTTTAACACTCAAGTATTTAGATTTACAAATAATTGAATCATAAAATCAGATTCTGTTAAATACCAACATTATTCATTTTAGCAATAATTGAATGCTAGATATAATTGCACTTGATTGTGGATTATTTGAACCATTTTATGCACCTCTATGAGTTTCTGGAGTGGAAAATTCTTCCAAAAGATGCTGGTCTTCCATTTTTTGCTTCTCTCCTTTCCTCCGAACCTCTCAAATTCGTTGGGCTTGAACCACTGGCCTTCACTGAAGATGCACTTCTCCACTGAAAACAGATACATATTTATTCAAGCAATACAACAGAGTAAGAGTTTTGAACATGTCTAGATGCTCCAGAAATGTTTTCAAGACATTCTTCAACAAGTGACTCTTCACATGTATATAAAACTTAACTGCAATCCTTAATTGTCTGCACCTACTGTCATTATATTTCACCACATGCAGGACGCCGTCTTTATCTCCACATGTGACAGGAAGTTCAGATTTGTTTCCAAATTTTTGTCTGAAATACAGGCTGGAGTCTGAAACAAATATCAAAAATATCACACAGATCTGCTCTATTAAACAAATTTACCAGTTCCATTAAAACCATTTTTCCCCCCCCGTTTATCTGAACAATATATATATTGTTTTGTCATTTAAATTTAAACTGAGCTTTAAATCAAACACATTACAAAAAGAGCAGTGTTAATGAAACTACATCTTCAGAATTCATCTAATTTTGTAATGTCATTACTGAAATATACTGTACTTTGGAAAGCGCTGTTGTTCTCACTCAGACTGTCAGATCCTGTGCTGTTCTCAGGATCAAATTCTGATTCAGATTCTGAGTCAGACGTTGTGTCTATGGGAACTTTGGTACCTTCGGCTTGTCTCTTCTTGGTTGTACAGAGGGAAGACGGCTCTGTCTGTTTACAGTTAAGTTTTTTCATTTTCCTTTTTTTCCCTAGTTTTACTTCCTTTGCGCTGTTGTTCTCACTCAGACTGTCAGATCCTGTGCTGCTCTCAGGATCAAATTCTGATTCAGATTCTGAGTCAGACGTTGTGTCTATGTCCAACTCTCCTTCCATGTCCTGTGGTTCTCTGAAAAACATGTAACATTGATTATACATTTTTTTCAGAGGAAACCATCATACTTTGCACTTTTAAACATGATCAGGTGAACTTGCTTTCTGTTTATGTAATGATGAATCAAAATATGTTACAAAGATGAGCATGATATGAGAAATGAAACATGAACATGTCTATAAACAGTAGTTTACCGATAAAGGAAATGTTTATGTTGAAATGAAATAATTTCAATATAAGGGAAAATACAAAAATTGACTTATGGACACTGTAAAAAGCACTGATTTTAACATTAAAATTTATAATACAACAAATGTACATATAGTTACACATTGAACATATTGTTAAATATAAAATATTAATTTATTATTTTAGAGTATTAGTATTATATCATTTTACAGTAAGGTTGCATTTATTCTCTTTTTTTTATCTCTATACTGTACTCATTTAAAGCTGACATCATATTCTCTGCATTATTGTAGCTGCATGAAGCAAACCGAATTCTCCATGCTGTTTTGTTTGCAAAAAAAAAAATCCAAGTCACATAAGAAATATTAGATACACGCCATACATTATAATGAGACTGAAATCGAATGAATATTCAAAGTTTCTCTCATGCTGAAACAAAACTGAAAGTTGCTTCCTGGACTGTTGTTTTGAAATCTGCGTGACAGATGAATAGAAACCACAGACCAGAAAATATTCACAACATTAAACTTGAATTTACTAATGAATTAATGTACTTACCCTGCTGTGTTCATGACTTGCTCCCTGTTTTCCTAGTTTCCTCTCTCTCTTACGCACAGTTTATTACGTACACAGGGTAATCTCCTTTCCTTTAACATACTCCACCTAACCACACCTTGCAGCAGGTGTGCCTACCTAATGCGTCAATGAGAAACTATTCCACTTGATCACTTGACTCTAGTAAAACTCCTCCCCTTCATTACACAAGAGTGCACATACAGGGACTTTGATCTACTGTATTTGCCTGATACACACTGACACAGAAATATAACTGAAATTGTCTGCTCTATTTTCATGTTGTAATTTGTTTAAAAAAAACTGTAAATGATTAAGTGATATACCATTTATTTTCTGGGCTTTTGTACCTCTCCCCTTCGACAGAAGGTAATATACTGCAGGATCTGTAGCATCAGTGGGAGGTGCAGGTGAATCCTGGGGAAGATAGTGATAGACAAAGACAGTGAATTAAAACATTTAATTTAATTTTGGCATCACTCACTTAACTATATAAATAGGAATATTTAATGGTCATCGTATTCAAACCAACCCACTTAACATAAGCATTAGTTCAACACCGATTCTTCATAGTCTAATAAAAAAAACAATCAATTGTAAGACTGAAAAGTCTCATAATAAGATAATTAAATCATGTTAGAAGGAAATAACGGATCTCACTAACCTCTATCATTCCCAGTAGATCCTATAAGTTCTGTGATCTTTTTACTGACAGTTTCAGTTGAATTCACAGGTTCCCTCCTGTTCTGTGGTGAAAAGAAATTATGAGATATAAGTAATATTTGGTAACACTTTATTTTAGGGTCTCTTAACTAGTTGCTTATTAGCATGCATATTACTAGAATATTAGCCATTTATTAATACTTATTAAGCACATATTAATGCTTTATTCTACATGACCTTATGCTACATACCTAATCCTACCCAATACCTAAACTTAACAACTACCTTACTAACTATTAATAAGCAGCAAAGTAGGAATTTATTGAGGGAAAAGTTGTAGTTAATAGTGAATAAGTGTTCCCTATTCTAAAGTGTGACCCTAACTTCTTTTAACTGAAAGTAAAGGAAGCCCGCTAGAAAAGCCACTAAATGTCGTCATGCGCTAATTAGCATATTCATGACGCAATTGCGTCATATTGCCTTTCACATTTGTTTGCCTCTCTGTGCTTACTGCTTACAGACTGTATTTTAATGCAGCCAAATTCTCAATAAAACTGTTTTGCTTAATGGAACTTAATTATTTTTGAAAACAGGCTCATTTTCCAACTCCCCTAGAGTTAAACAGTTGAGTTTTACCATTTTCGAATCCATCCAGCCGATCTCCGGGTCTGGCGGTAGCACTTTTAGCTTAGCTTAGCATAGATCATTGAATCTGATTAGACCGTTAGCATCTCGCTCAAAAATGATTGGCTAATAAACCTTTGAGATGTAACTTCTGTAATCTTTGATTCTTCATGCTTACCAGGACTTAAAACACTACAATATTTTTTTTAATTGAAATCGCTGCTCCTCTCAGTCACTCAATGAACAGAGCAGACACAGAGAGAGGTGTGTGCGTGCTGGCAAAGCAAGACCTCGCACTTGTGCAGGCTGTACCGACGAGTCTCAGAAACGAAATAAGGTTTGTTCAAGAAGTCGCAAGATTTGTCACTAGGCACTTTTTTGTAAAAAAAAAGTCGCTAAAAGGGTCTGAAGTCGCTAAATCTAGCGTCAAAGTCACAAAATTGGCAACACTGCAAGGAGGGGGCGTGCATAACTAAAGAGGATGTGTGGGATATTTTGGTATTATTGGTGGTATTTGAATCATCCTTCATATTTTAAATAATTCACATAAACTAATGTTTAATTAACAAGAAAGTAGCGGCGCCATGTAAAGTCGTAGAGTTGCTGAGCTCCTCACGAGGAACTTCAAATTTAATTTATATCGCTCTTATTTTAAACATCAGTGCGCTAAATCTGCCGTTATTGTATATTAAGTGCCTAATGATCGGAGACCTGCTGTTTCGAACATAGTTTGACTTTTCAAGCAAGATAAACAAGAGCTGGAGCAACCGCAGAGAGGTAGAATCTGCTATTAGACATCATGCTAATGCTAGCTCCGAACTGCAAGCGGCCTCAAAGAAATAAACGGTCTCAGCAAGTGACAACTGCGCAGTTCTCCAATCAATTAACTCACTCAAAGAAGACTTGATTGCAAAAATCGAAGAAAAGGCCACTGCTCAATCAGATGAACTCTGCAGCCAAATCGACCAGCTCCGGAAGGAGTTATGATTCAAAATTCACTAAAGCTCTGGTTTCCTGACCTTAATACCGTTGATGACTGTGCCGAAGGGGTCCTCTGGTGGTATTATTGAGAAGTTTTTGCGATGGCCTTTAGTAACATAGGTGGAGCAGAGACAAGCCTTGTCAGTTGGAACGTGCGGGGGCTTAATCACCCAGTGAAGCCAAACCAGGTTTTCACACATCTTAATAAATTGACATCTGATATAATATATTTGCAAGAGACTCATATGCTGAACAAAGACCATCCTAAACTTCACAGAGGAGGCTTTACGCAAATTTTCCTTTTGAATTTTAATAGCAAAAGCAGGGGAGTTGCCGTACTTATACATAAGAATGTACATTTTGTAGAGGAGGTAACAATGAAGGATAAAAATGACATATACGTAATAATCCAGGGTAAACTTTTCAACATGCCTGTTGTCCTGGCCAATGTGTACGAACCTAATTGGGTATATAATCTATATTTTAGGTGGTGATTTGAATTGTGTCCTACACCCAGTTTTGGAACGGTGTAGCTCTACAATCAATACAGCATGTAAGTCAGCGCATTTATAAAATTCATAGACGCTCAAATTGAGTTATTTCTTGACAAAAAAAAACTGAGATAAGTTATAGCATTCTATGGGATACTCTGAAAGCTTATGTGAGGAGAACAAATGACTTCATATCGAGTGCAAATAAAAAGAAATCAAAGCAGATTACAGAAATTATTAATAAAATAAATACGATTGATAAAACTGCATAAGGAAATAAGGACTGCAAGGACTTCTTTTACAAGTTGAATTTGACTCTCTGATCAGCGAGCATGCGGAAGATCTTCACTTGAGATCACGCCAGATTTAATATGAGCATGGCGAGCGAGCTGGCCGGTTTTTGTGTTATCAATTGAAACTGTAGCATCTAATTCTATAGCAGCAATCAGAAACTGTGATGGCAACATTATTACTGATCAACAGGGAATCAATGAACAGTTCAAATTCTTTTATGAAACTCTTTACAATTCTGAGGTGTATGACACTGAACGAATAGATAGGTTTTTTAACCATTTAGAATTGCCATCCCTCGGGGACTCAGATAGATCTGCTCTAGAAGGCAATATAACCATTTGTGAGGTTGATTGAGGTGCAATTAAGAAACTAAAATCTGAAAAAGCGCCAGGTCCCAACAGTTATCCGGCATAGTTTTATAAGAAGTTTTCTGCCAAGTTAGCACCTCTGTTGTGTAAGGTATTTGAGGAGGCCCTTGTTTCAAAATTTCTCCCCTATCCATGACACAGGCTGTCATATCAGTCCTTCTTAAAAAGGACAAGGATCCACTTAAGTGTGAATCTTATCATCCGATCGGTTTACTTTGCTGTGACTGTAAGATTTATCTATCAGAATTGAGCCGGTCATGAGGAAGGTAATTCATCCAGACCAGACTGGTTTTATTGCTGAGAGACAGTTATCATACAATCTTCATCGCTTATTTAATGTCATCTACTCACCGAAAAATAATATTAATCCAGAGATCTTAATATCTTTAGATGCTCACAAGGCATTCAATAGAATTTAATATGTTTACTTACTTGCAAAGGTTTGGCTTCGGCCCTGTGTTCTGTTCCTGGATCAAAATTCTATACAGTAATCAACATTTGAAGTGGATCAAAAAAGTTAATCAAAGTTGTCCTAAGACAAGAACGCATTTTGGTTTTAGGACAACTTTGATGAAAGGTTTTGATCCACTTCAAATGTTGACTACTGTATACTAGGCCCCAAGCATCCATTCGAACAAATAATATAATTTCTAAGTGCTTTCCACTCTCTAGGGGGACAAGGCAGGGTTGCCCTCTGTCCCCCCTGCTTTTTGATATTCCCATCGAACCTCTCGCAATCTTGTTAAGGAATATGGATGGTTTGCCTGGAATACTCAAGGAGGGACACGAGCATAAGCTTTTGCTTTATGCTGACGATCTCCTCCTCTTCTTGTCTAATCCAGATTCCTCAATACCAAAGGCCCTTACAATTATTTCAGATTTCGGAAATGTTTCGGGGTACAAAATTAATTTAGCAAAGAGTCTTCTTTTCCCTATCAATCAAAGAGCACAAGTATAACAATTTTGTTAATAAAGCAAATCTTTCCCATGAACTGCCAAAATACAGACAGCATGTTACATGTCCCACCAGAGACAGTAATATATTGGACCATTGTTACTCCACAATAAAGGATGCATATCGCTCCATCCCCAGAGCAGCTGTGGGACTCTCTGACCACTGCCTGGTATCTTATACCGATTTACAGGCAAAAACTTAAATCTGCTAAACCTGTAGTAAAATCTGTAAAGAGATGGACCAACGAAACAGAGCAGGCATTACATTGGAAAGGCCTGAAAGACATCACCAACGACAAGACACCATCCCCCAGCACTGAGGCCAATCAACAACTTGCTCAAGACCTGAATAAGTTTTACTGTAGATTTGAAACTCCCAGTCTAACACCCCACACCCGCTCTGAACATCTCTCCACACAACCATCAACACCTCCTGCAACCCCCTCTCCCCCACTCCTATGTTTCAGATCAGTGAGGATGATGTGCGCCAGGTCTTCAGAAAGAAAAAGAGAAAAAAGGCAGCAGGCCCAGACGGTGTGACAACAGCATGTCTTGAAAACCTGTGCTAACCAGCTGGCCCCCATCTTCTCACAGATCTTCAACAGATCACTGGAGCTGTGCGAAGTCCCTGCCTGCTTCAAACGCTCCACCATCATCCCCGTCCCAAAGAAACCCAAGATAACAGGACTTAATGACTACAGACCTGTGGCTCTAACGTATGTGTTATGAAGACATTTGAGAGGTTGGTGTTAATCTACCTCATGAACAGTTAATGTTCTCCCACTGTGCAATAAAAATGTGCTATAACCTTATACTTATCACCCTAAATCCTAGTACATCCCTACAAATTTTATTTTTATTTTATTTTATTCTATTCCTATTCTATCTATAGCACACCTGTACATACAATTTATTCTTTTTTTGTGGTTTATTTATATTTATGCATGTGTATTTTATTCACATCTTATTTTTATTATCTGTGTGTTGTTGTTGTCTCTGTGTACTGGAAGCTTGTGACACTAAAACAAATTCCTTGTATGTGCAAACATACTTGGCAATAAAGCTCTTTCTGACTTCTGAAGAAGAGTGTTGTATATGTCTGTGTTCTGATTGTTGTATAATATTGAAAATCAATAAATAGTATTTGAATAATAACAAGAAAGTCTATTTTCTAGTTATACATAGTGCCCCAGTAAAAGAGTCACCCTCAAGTTGTCCCAAACCCCTCCTGTTGAAAACCGATGATATTTTGAAGAATGTTAATAAACAAACAGCTGCCGGTAGCCATTGACGTCGATAGTATTTGTTTTCATACTACTGTAAGTAGTCATTTTTGGGTGAACTATCCCTTACGGGAAACCCAGGTGTAATACAAACATTTTGTTGAATTTACTCACCTAACCACGTGTCACCTGTCATCAAAGTATATCTACATACCTGGTGAGTCACTCAAATACTATTATACTTCACAACATTTACATAATAAAATACAAAAAGGCTACGGAACAAAAAGAAACTACACAAAACAATATATAAAACAAAAACTACTACTTCTGTTAATAAACAACAAAAAAAGATTCTCCAAATTTTTACATAAAGGTATCAATTTATTTATGTATAAATGTATATGTATATATGTTTTTATGTATTAAAAAAAACAACAGAACATTGAACGTCAAATGATTCAAATAACAAAATGCTGCAATATATTTTGATTTAGGTCTTAAAAGTGAATTGTGCAAATTTATTCATTTATCGTTAAAATTCTTTCATTTATCACAGCTCAAAACGCAAATACTCAGATGTAAAAAAAAAAAAAAGAAGACATTTTTAGATTAATTTCCAAAAGAGTGCAAATATGGCTCTGTAATGTTTCTAATGCTGTGTGTTTGGCTGTGGGGCTGCCTGTTTTTTGAGCAATAAAAGACGGGGCAGGTCAGAAAGGGTGGTCGGATTGTTTAGGAACCTATTTAAAACAATCATTATTCTTGGAATTACAGAAATGGCACCCTTCACCTTTAAGGTACTTGAACACTGACAGTGATTAAGATCTGTATGGAGTAGGAGAAAAAACTGATAGTAGCAGATCTTCTGTACTGACATAATCAAATTGCCATCAGTAACCAATCCATTCTCCAAACCACTTGTCCTTTGCAGGACTGCAAAATAAAAGATTTTATACATCTTATACATTATTAAAATGAACTCTAATGAATATTCAAAGATATCCAGATCTCAATTGTATCTTTAAAAAACGTAAAAGAGAGTTGTTATTGGATACTGAAGATTTTCTGGAACTCTTCCTCGAACATTTCCTTCAGCCTGGCACCCATTCGGCCAAACACATTGTCCTTTAGAGAGCAAGAGAACAAAATACTAAAAAATCTGTCAAAAAATCACACGTCCAAAAACAATAATCATCAATAATGTCCAAAGATATGCGTCCACGTATAAGACATTGGAAAACAACTTAATTTTAACAAGGTCTTGATCTGTTTTTTGGTGATTTATTTATGTAACGTGTTTCAGTGAATCTTACCCTATTGAACGTGCTGCTGTTGCTGAAAATGAGCTGAAAGTCTGAGACGAATGCTCCTACCGTCTGATACTCTCCACTTTCCAACTTCTGCTTTATTCTGTCCAGCCACATCGGCTGAGATATGAACTCAGAGTATCTGGGCACCTGGAAGTCATTTTATTTTTGTTTTTATTTATTTTAAATTTCATTTCATATCTTTCATCACTTTTATTCTACTTAGTTTAATTTAAAATAGTTTATAAGGCATGAAAAGAGTAGCAAATGTAAAAGACAGAGAGATGAAATAAAGAGACAATCTCACCGTTGGCCGTGGATCCTTAACAAACACCTTCTGGATGTCCTCTCTGTACACACATAACAGGAGGTAGTGGCAGTGCTAAAGATGACAAACAACACACATATCCTACAATATTAGGCCCAAAATAATTGTTCTGTTTCTAAACCTGCTGAGCAGCCTATGTAGGCAGCACTTTAAGACATCAAAGGCTGTTACAAAATGTGAGCACCTTAAATGTTTGTGGTTATCTTCTATATTAAGGTGCAGAGTTTGTGTGTGTGTGTGCGTTTACCAATCTGTATTGAGACACTGGGGCACCGAAAGCCTCTTGTTCAGACATGTTACTGGAGTCACGCCATTGTTGACTGGTTCTTAACACGCAAAAGGTACAAATCCATTCCCTACAAGCAAACACACACACACATATACAGAATCAATGTACGACACACACACTTGCTGATTTAATGATTTTCTATCTGTTTGTCTCTCTCACCCAGGTGAGTCTCCGTGTACAGCTGGTAGGTGACAGTGTGAATGAAAAGCTCGTGGACACTCGTCACAACACACAAGATGTCCCTCAGAGTCACACACGTAACACTCGTCATCATTGTTCTGTGCCATCTAGTCATGACAGGATATACCATTTTATCATTATCACAAGAATAATCAAATGCATTTTGCTGTTTTGATATAGGAATCTAACCACAACATATCAAAGTCATAATTTCAAAAAAAGAAAGAAAAAAACAAATTAGAATTTTGCATGAAGAAAATTAAGCTAATTGTAGGCAGAGCCGATCGGCCAAATAAGCTCACGACGGGCCACGTAAATTACGCAAGACCCCGTCTCCCCCTTGTGTCAAAGCGGCACAACACTATCAATTTAAAAAGATTTTAAAAAGATGATGCTGAAATAGCGGTTGCTGCATTATGTTTTGTCAATTTAATTTGGCATTTCATGAGCGCTTTGAAGACGCTGTGCCAGTGTAACAACAGTGTCAGTGTCGTGCACGGTGTTATCATGAGCACTTCAAAATACCTGAATAATTCTAGATACCTTATTGTCGGAATTGTTTAAAAGTTTTTTGAACGCCTATCAGCTTATTTATATATTTATTGAAATATTCATATTAGCGTCCAGTTAAATCTGACAGCACTGCGTATTTGCTGCATGAAAATTCGGTCTGATTTTCACATCTGAACAAAATCAGCAGATGGGCTGAATAAAAACGCAAGTTCACTCTCTGACAGGGTTACCATAGTTACCCCTCTATACAAAGCAGCATTGCAAGTGCAACTTTCTGTGTCTACTTGCTAGTTGTCACAGAGAAGAAAGTAAGTCAAAACAGTATTTAAATTTAGAATTTAGTATTTAAACTTTAAAGTATTTAAAATTTAAATGTTTTCATTTTCATGTATATTTACATGTATACATGTAAATATTTCTGCATTTCAATCTGGACTAAAACATGACAGTCTAGAAAAGAGATATAATAGTACTAATAATAATAATAGGATTATTAATTTATTCTCTATTGCAATTTTCATAACCCATTGGCAGGTGTTTTTGCTTTACTAAAGCATTAATCTTACATTTTGATATATTTCTCTGAAAGTAATGGTTAAACATTTATAATTTAAAAATTTTGCTTCAGTAAATATATCTTCATATTTATATCTTGAAAGATAAATAAGACATTTACAATTACATTTTATCATTTAGCAGATGCTTTTATACAAAGCGACTTACAAATGAGGGCAATAGAAGCAATCAAACCAACAAAAGAGCAACAATATATAAGTGTTGTGACAGGTCCCAGTTAGTCTAACGCAGTACATATAGCAAGTTTTGAAAAAAAATTTTTTTTATTTTTTTATAAATGGTCGTTATTATTTTTTTATAATAATTAAAAAGAAAACAAGTAGACAGAATAGAAATAGAATAGAGAGTTCTAGTGTTAGAGAGTCAAATGTAGAGTAAGACAATTTTCTAAAACTTTACTACAAGGTGTCCAAGATTTTTTAAAATTTACATTAACATGACCATTAAAGGGATAGTTCTATCCCTTTAAGCACATTTCTTCCTGAATATTCTGTATTATTTTCAATGGCTGTATTTACACTAATTTACACTGCAGATCTGGATGCCAAAATCAGATTTTTTGACTATATCTGATTTTTTTGATGACCTGCTTACACCTTCGTTTAAAAGTGACCCATATCCGATATCTGCATTTACACTACACGACGTGGCTCAATGCGTTAGACAGTGATATTAAAAGACTAAAATCTGCACACACTATTAATAAAGCATACTTTGTATAGAAAAGCAGATGAGTCCATAATATGAACGCAAAGAGTTTAACTTATTGACAGAACTCATAGAAACATTTTTAATGCGATAGTCTAGTTTCATCCTTACATCAAAATCATTAATTAGTACCGATTCTTCACGACAGTGATTATGTACACAGATCAGCTATACACATCCGAGGGTACAAATGGTCTAGCAGTAGAACTTGTGCTAAGTTAGTGCGTCTGGGTTCTAATCCGCCTTCGTATAGTTCCCTATCGAAGTCTCTCCCGTTGTGTTTACCGCATAATGGGGAAACTCCTGTTTACTCTGTTACTGAAGCCTGATTTGTTCACGTTTGTGTAGCTGCACAAACCTATGGTGCTTTAGCCTACCAGAAGGGGCGGAGCCGACCTCTACATAGGTTACATAGGTTGGCCATTTCATCAGAATCTTTTCCTTCAGCGACGAGGATCATCTCTTTGCTGACTCTGCAAACTCTGCAATGAAGAAGAAGATGGAAGAAGCTCAGCCTGCTGCTCGCTGCCATAGAAGGAGCCCCGGCAAAGGAAGAAGCCAGAAGCCTTCCCCTGCAGCCACCCAGCGCAATAAAAGAGCAAATTTCCTAGCGACGTTGTTGCAAATGTCGCTCTGCGAGTGTGGCTCGTGCAGGGAACGAGTAAGAGTAAGGATCAGTGCCCCTCGTTTACATTGAGCGGCTCAATCCTTCTAGGCAGATCGGAGTACAATGCTGTCACCAATGATTCTGTATTGCTGACAGCTTCACATTTGTGTGCGCGCCGCTGAGGCTGCACTCACTGAGACAGGCTGCTTTCATTGCGAAAGCATGAGTCTGTCCCTGCTTCGCTCGCGGATTTCCTTCTTCAATGAAGGCGACCCCGCCCTTCCTGCTCTCACGTTTCTCCCCTCCCAGCTACCTCGGAGGAAGAAACGGCGGACTCACAGGTTGAGCGATCAGGCTTGAGTGATTTCACGCTGGCACAGGTCATTTTTTTCTTCTAAAAAAATAACACAGCCTACTTAAACAAATTAATTTAATCATATTACTATAAGGAAAAGTATATTGCTGACTGACTGCGGTCCCAGACTTGTGCGTCTTTCTTCCAAGATCCTCCCACACACACTGAATGCCCTCTCTGACGGCGCACTAGATGCGGGAATGCTCAAAATAAAACGCGCTAATTTTGAGAGGACAGGAAAGCACTCTTTGTTGAACTTCCACCATTGAAGCACATTCTCTGGAACTCCATTTCTATTACACGCCAAATCTCACTGGGCCCCGCGGGTCTCCCACAAAATTTTCTGACTGCCCACTCCCACCTGCAGCAATGGTAAAACCCCCCACTCCCACAAGATTTGCGTTGGGTCCTGCGGGAGCCCAAACCCAATGCAGCTCTCTACTCTCAACTCCGTTCAGAGCCCAGGTTATTACACTCCTGGAACTCCCCGCTGCAGACGGTGAGCAGGGTCCTAATCCACTCTGCCCAGTGAGGGCTCTTAGAGTGTACTTTGAGCGCGCTAGTCTGTTTAGACAATCAGAGCAGCTCTTTGTTTGCTTTGGAGGCCGCTCAAAAGGGTTGCCAGTTACGAAGCAGAGACTTTCTTGCTGGATAGTGGATGCTATAGCCTTGGTTCTTTCGTTAAGTCGCAAAGAGTTTAACTTATTGACAGAACTCATAGAAACATTTTTAATGCGATAGTCTAGTTTCATCCTTACATCAAAATCATTAATTAGTACCGATTCTTCACGACAGTGATTATGTACACAGATCAGCTATACACATCCGAGGGTACAAATGGTCTAGCAGTAGAACTTGTGCTAAGTTAGTGCGTCTGGGTTCTAATCCGCCTTCGTATAGTTCCCTATCGAAGTCTCTCCCGTTGTGTTTACCGCATAATGGGGAAACTCCTGTTTACTCTGTTACTGAAGCCTGATTTGTTCACGTTTGTGTAGCTGCACAAACCTATGGTGCTTTAGCCTACCAGAAGGGGCGGAGCCGACCTCTACATAGGTTGGCTCAGAGCGCCATTTCATCAGAATCTTTTCCTTCAGCGACGAGGATCATCTCTTTGCTGACTCTGCAATCAAGAAGCCGAAGAAGAAGATGGAAGAAGCTCAGCCTGCTGCTCGCTGCCATAGAAGGAGCCCCGGCAAAGGAAGAAGCCAGAAGCCTTCCCCTGCAGCCACCCAGCGCAATAAAAGAGCAAATTTCCTAGCGACGTTGTTGCAAATGTCGCTCTGCGAGTGTGGCTCGTGCAGGGAACGAGTAAGAGTAAGGATCAGTGCCCCTCGTTTACATTGAGCGGCTCAATCCTTCTAGGCAGATCGGAGTACAATGCTGTCACCAATGATTCTGTATTGCTGACAGCTTCACATTTGTGTGCGCGCCGCTGAGGCTGCACTCACTGAGACAGGCTGCTTTCATTGCGAAAGCATGAGTCTGTCCCTGCTTCGCTCGCGGATTTCCTTCTTCAATGAAGGCGACCCCGCCCTTCCTGCTCTCACGTTTCTCCCCTCCCAGCTACCTCGGAGGAAGAAACGGCGGACTCACAGGTTGAGCGATCAGGCTTGAGTGATTTCACGCTGGCACAGGTCATTTTTTTCTTCTAAAAAAATAACACAGCCTACTTAAACAAATTAATTTAATCATATTACTATAAGGAAAAGTATATTGCTGACTGACTGCGGTCCCAGACTTGTGCGTCTTTCTTCCAAGATCCTCCCACACACACTGAATGCCCTCTCTGACGGCGCACTAGATGCGGGAATGCTCAAAATAAAACGCGCTAATTTTGAGAGGACAGGAAAGCACTCTTTGTTGAACTTCCACCATTGAAGCACATTCTCTGGAACTCCATTTCTATTACACGCCAAATCTCACTGGGCCCCGCGGGTCTCCCACAAAATTTTCTGACTGCCCACTCCCACCTGCAGCAATGGTAAAACCCCCCACTCCCACAAGATTTGCGTTGGGTCCTGCGGGAGCCCAAACCCAATGCAGCTCTCTACTCTCAACTCCGTTCAGAGCCCAGGTTATTACACTCCTGGAACTCCCCGCTGCAGACGGTGAGCAGGGTCCTAATCCACTCTGCCCAGTGAGGGCTCTTAGAGTGTACTTTGAGCGCGCTAGTCTGTTTAGACAATCAGAGCAGCTCTTTGTTTGCTTTGGAGGCCGCTCAAAAGGGTTGCCAGTTACGAAGCAGAGACTTTCTTGCTGGATAGTGGATGCTATAGCCTTGGTTCTTTCGTTAAGTCCTTAACTTAAGTGCTCCAAGACTAGGCTCGAAGAGCAGGTTGCTCTGTCTCTGCTCATAGCATGGCATGATTGGATGCATTCCCCACACTGCGTTAAATGCAACGGGAGAGACTGTACGATAGGGAATGCTCCGGTTACGGACGTAACCTCGGTTCCATGAGATAAGGGAACAAGCGTTGTGTCACTCGCCGTGCTATAAGCTGCACGCGAATCGATGACTGTCGCTTCAGTCTAATGATTCTGATGAAATGGCGCTCTAAGCCGACTTAAATAGAGGTCGGCTCTGCCCCTTCTGGCGGGCTAAAGCACCATTGGTTTGTGCAGCTACACAAACATGAACAAATCAGGCTTCAGTAACAGAGTAAACAGGAGTTTCCCCATTATGCGGTAAACACAACGCTCACTCCCTTATCTCAGGGAACCGAGGTTACGTCAGTAACTGGAGCATTTTTTCCCTCATTAAAACCCAATGTGTTCATCAGTGATGGTATATCAAGAGCAGGGACATGTTTGTGTGCATTTTTTATGATTTCACCAGAATTAATAGAGAGCCTCCACAACAGTTAGCAATAGATTGAAGCGCTCGTCTATGCACGAGCCGCCATCACTGATAACAGCGGCAACGAGCACTCAGCATGATTTCAAAAGCAACACATTTAATAATCTTAGCTTTCTTTAAGCAGAAAATGTTATATATATACAACTAATGGTATACACTAATAAGAGGCTGTTAAAAACTAAGAAAGTTAGTTTCAGTTAAAGTTAATATCATGAATTATTTTTATAATGACTTGATTAAACATGATCATGTAGACATGTTTCTTACCAGGTCTTCCTTTTTAATGCTGCATTTCTGACAGTCACATAGAAGTAAATGTTTGAGCAGGATTTCTTTCTAAAAATTACAATAAACAAACAAATAATTCAATAAATAAATGTGATTTTTCTTTTTTTCAACATACTATGTTCTCACCTACCTTGAGTAAAAAGTTGAGCGTTTTTCCACGGCACACTATATCTTTCTTCCAGTGTCCATCAGTGATAGTTGGTTCCTGCTTTACAAATTCCTCCGGAGTGAACCATCTTTCCTCAGTACGTATACACTTCCCACGTATCCCTGCAACAGAACATAAACATGAACATTTTCCACTAAAACCTCCAACACTGCCAAAACCAACTGCATACTGAGTTCTGCACACAAATTAGTGCAATAACATACCTGTTGCAAACCTGTATTTGTATAAAGTCCCAGTAAGTGAAACACAGGTGACTGGTAAAGAAGGATCCTGGAAAACAGACAGATCTGCCATGTCTTCTTCCTCAACTCTCCCTCTGATCTCTGTTCCTCCTCCTCTCCATCCCTGTTCCTGGAAATCTTCAGCATCATTTTCTTGAGAAATAAAACACATTGCTGCGTTCAGACAGACAGCAGAGAGCATGTGAATGAGCCTGGATGATCGTTACTCACCTTCACTGGAGCACACACATGTTCTCTTTCTTCTCTCCATCGGTGGACACTGAAGATGTTCCTCCTGAAAAAATGAGAAAGGAAGTGATCACACATGTATATGAATAGGTCTGCTGTATTTAATGTAACTACAAATTTATCTCATACTTTGTAAAATTAAAGCGTTGATAAAAAAATATGGGTTGTACTTCTGATGCTTTGTATTAGAAGCACATTCCTGCTATAGGCTGTAAGTTGCTAGAGGTTTACAATCAACATTTTTTTTAAACAGGAAAAGGTGCAGTTTTCTTTCAAAACAGTGGTGGGTGTACCGATTAGGTAATCAAATAAAAATGCCACTAAAATGTTAATTTGTGCATGCAGATTGGACTTACATACATATATACTGTATATTGTACATTAGGGCACTAAAAATGAAATATTAGCCAATAAATACAACAACCAATAATTATTTATATCTTAAAGTGTATATATACTGTATATGTAGAGTGTATGCATACACACACACATATATAATTAGTTACCTCTATGAGTTTCTTAAGTGGTGTGTTTCTGCAGTGGATGCTGAGTTTCCAGTTTTTGCACTTTTCCTTCCCCGCAAACTTTTCAAAATAATTTGGGGTGAACCAGCGCCCCTGAGACAAAATACACTTTTCCCCTACAGGAGACAAGGATAGGATGCATTCAGCAAATATTATAAACACTCACTCTAATAAAATTAAGAGAAATTATAGCAAAAACTCAATGATGGTGAACCTCTGGGCATTTTGTCCCGATAGAGAGTGCCTTCTTTATCCCCACAGGTTACAGGCAGATGAGTTTTATAAATAGGCCACTTCCAAATCTCCTGATTTTCTCCTTTCTTCACAAGAGATGCTGAGAAAGAGAGAGAAGACAACACAGATCAGGAGAGAGTGAAAATACAGGAATAGGACATCAGGCACCAGGAAACACTGTTATTTTAGTATCACTGAGATACTATTATTGTTTTATTAATATTTTTAATTAATTTTTTTTATTTTAATTTTAGTTACATTTTTTGTAATTTTGTTGTTTTGTTAGTTTCATTTTTTATATAGTTTTATTAAAGGAATAAAAACATCACAATAATCCACATGACTCCAGTCTATCAATTAATGTCTTGTGAAGTGAAAAGCTGTGTGTTTTTAAGAAACAAATCCATGATTACGACGTTTTTATCTTCAAAATGTTACTTCCAGCTAAAAGTCCTCTATCCACAATATTGCTTTCTCCAGTGAAAAGTCATCTCGTCTAAATCAGGAGAAAAATATGCACAGATCAAGCGTTGATCAGCAGTTTGGACTTTCATTCTGACGGCACCCATTTGCTGTAGAGGATCCATTGGTGAGCAAATGATGTAATGCTAAATTTCTCCAAATCTGTTCTGATGAAGAAACAAACTCATCTACATCCTGGATGGCCTGAATGAGAGTACATTTTCTGAAAATTTTGGCCAAACTTTCCTTTAAATTTTATTTCAGTTTCAGCTATTTTAGTACATCAAGTAGAACTAAACTAAAATAAGTCATGTTTCCTCTGCAACTATATGAAATAAAATGTTTTTTATATTTTATATTATTTTAGTAAAGGTTTAATTTATTGTGAGTAAAAAAAACTGTTCTTATGGTTTTAGTGTTATTTAACTGTATGCTTGATGAGATCTTAGACCTGCTGTAGTTCAGGAACTCACAGAATGAGGGTTTTTTGCCTGGTTTCTTCCGACTGGGTGTGGAAGCAGAGGAAGGATCAGGATCATCATTATCCTCACTACTTCTATCATCTTTACTTCTCTTTCTTTTGTAGTTGTTCTCCTTCCCTTTCTCTGCCTTTCCTTCACTCTCTTCCTCCTCTGCTGGAGTCTCAACATCCGGATGTTTCTCATAGAGTTTGAAAGTGCCTGGGACAAGGAAAAAAAATAAAACGATACTGTACATATATATATATATGAACGCATTCTTGCTCTATCATAGCATAGTAATGCAGCGTGAGCCTCTAGATAACATAACATAAAGCTGATAATAGTGAAAACCACCGACCGTCCAGCAGACTTTTTCTGAGCATGCGTAGCGTCGGGTAGAGCTGCAGGATATGGTCTTCAAACACACAGCGCCAGAACTGATGTATGTACTGTGGTTTATTTTTCTCCACCCAGTCCAGAACCTTATAGACGTCCTTCTTCTGCTCACGAGAACGCTTCTTTTTCACATTCTACAGACAAAAACAGAGAGGAAGACATAAAGGAAGATGGAAGTACAGTATGATCAGACGTCTTATGCATAAATATGCAAAACAACGAACTGACAAACTTTGACACACAATTTTTTTTTTAAGTAGAGTGGCGGTACCATGGTAAAGTGATGGTAAAGTGATCATGATGAATACCATGATGGTGAGATCAGTAAGACTTTTTTTTTTTTAAGAATTTTTTTTTTTTTTTTTTATTCAGAGAGGACACATTAAATTGGTCAAAAGTGACAGTAAGGACTTTTACATTGATACACAAGATTTCGATTTCAAGTAAACGCTGTTCTTTTTAATTTTCTATTCAAAGAATCCTGTGTAGCATTTGGACCAATCAGACACACAACTATTTGTTATATTTAACAAATAATAAGGAGAGAGAGAGAGAGAGAGAGAGAGAGAGAGAGAGAATGAGAATGTAAGGTGGTTGTGTTTCCACCTCAAAAAGTTTCTCCGGCACCAGATCGTGGTCTCGCAGCTGAGTGAGGAATCTGTGCGGTTGCTCGATGCACGAAATTTCCGTCTTTTTCCGGTGGAGAAAAAACAGCAACTCTTCAGTCGTTAGAAAGTTCAACGGCTCCATTCATTCCATCTATAATGCGACACGAAATCATTTCAGCGACTTTACAACAGCATGCGGATTAATACAATGCAACAGATACAGTTCTGTGTCAAATACATAATTATGAAGCAATGTCTTATACTTTGTGCCCAACTGAATAGATCAGAAATGTTACGTACAAACGTTTTGCTGGCGTTAAACACAACAGTTGCATATTTGACTGCATACCTGTCAACGACCGAGATGTCTGGAATAATTTGTATATTTCTGTACTTGACACGAGGAGTACTCAAACAGAAAGAGCCATTTCTGAATCTCCCGCCTGTATGTGACAGTCTAGCTAATAAATCGAGAAGTACGCGGAAGTGATGTAGAGAAAGCGAATGTAAACCTGTTACAGGGCTGGAGTTCCGCTAACCGGATCTTCTGAACGATTTCTTTCAAAACAACAACAAACGACAGCAGGGCGCGTATTTTAGGCACACCGTTTCGACGATTTATTAGGATGCTAATCGTAATTTCATGTGTTCCAGTTCTGTTAATTACATAGATGCGAATGCTGAAATTAAGTTTAACCTCGTGACTTAAAAGGTTTTATTCAAATACTAAACCATGGTTTGATCAACCATGTGTTGATAAAACTGCCGTACAAGTTTAAAAAGTTTTCCAGTATTTATTTATTTATAACGTGTCTGCTACACGGTTAAAGGGGCCATATGATATGTTGCTAAAAAGAACATTATTTGGTGTATTTGGTGTAATGCAATGTGTTTATGCGGTTTAAAGGGATAGTTCACCCAAAAATGAAAATTCTGTCATTAATTACTCACCCTCATGTTCCAAACCCGTAAGACCTCCGTTCATCTTCGGAACACAAATTAAGATATTTTTTATGTATTCTGACACTTTAACCAATCGAGTCCGAGACAAGTCCGAGTCCAGAATGGGCAGAGTCGGACTCAAGTCCGAGTCCCAAACAGCCGAGTCCGAGTCCAACGAAACTCTATTATTTATTTGTATCTTAACATTGTTTTAACCTTTACAACTAGAAAACCGCATTGTCCATTTAAATGTAACAAAAGCAAACCTCTATTGCATCTTGCTATTTTGATTTTTGATTAATAATTAGTGTTCTGCTTTGCTTAGCAAACTTAAAAGTCATGTAACAGAAGTTATGGCTGAATTGATTTATGTATGTGACATGTTTCAGAGTGAAACAGGTTTTAGAATGTGAAAAATTAAAGGGCGGGACTTGACTTTATTAATCGTTAAAGTAAATGTATAAATTCAAGGGTAGGGGTAAAGGAGTATCTTGGTGAATGGGAAATTTTCATAATTTTTTTTTACGATTTTTAATGAAATATGAATTTTGAATAATCAAAATTAGTTGTGTGTCTGCTTATTCTATTCATCAGTGTTTGAACCATTGAAGAAGAAACTGCATTTTAATTTCTGGGTTAAAAAAAATGAAAAATGAACGGACGCCAAAGTACACGGACCCCTTAAGACAGGGCATTTTGAATTTTTTCTTGGATGAAAATGAGGCTGTGAAGGATAAACCTAGTCTGTACAATGGCACACACTGTGTATAAAAGCCCTACATATACTTTCCATAAGTCACAGGCAACTCACACCCGTTTTATTTTTGAATGCATTTATACTTACATTAATTACAATAAATTACATTATGTAAGGAATAATTGATGACAGACCGTTGAATTATTAGAAAATAATGCACACCCAAGGTTATTTTGGACCCATAAAAACTATTGCCGCAAAGATAATAATTTTTCTTTGAAGCTAGAAACTGCCACTAATACAAAAGCAAAAAATAATAAACTAATGTAATAACACATTCACAAGCTTACTGAAGGCAAGTAAACACTCCAAGTATTACTTACAAGCTAAATGATAAATAAATATATTACTCAAAAATAGAAATTAAATAGTTTTTTTTTTTGTTTTTCAGATTGTAGCCTAGTAAAGGCCTCTAGAAATAGCCTACAGACATTTCATGAAAATGAAAAATATCCAATGAAAAATGTAAAAAAAATCTTCACTTTATACATTAAATATAGATGATTCTTATTAAAAAGTTAATAAGTGATTCAGTCAAGAACAGTGAGTGATTTTCTCCTTTTCTTTGGTTTGATTAACATTTATGACACAGTCGGCAGCTGCAAGTTTGCACTGTTGCTTTAAAGGGGTCATATCATGCGATTTCAATTTTTCCTTTCTCTTTGGAGTATTACAAGCTCTTGGTGCATAAAGAAGATCTGTAAAGTTGCAAAGACTAAAGTCTCAAATCCAAAGAGATATTCTTTATAAAAGGCATAAACATTTCATTACACCAAATAAATGTTCTTTTTAGCAGCATATGACCCCTTTAAAATTAAGTTTTTACAAAAAAGTAGTAATGCAGGTTTATATAGTTTATATTGTTTTTTTCATGTGTTACTATCGGGGAAGTCGTGGCCTAATGGTTAGAGAGTCGGACTCGTAACCCAAACGTTGTGGGTTCGAGTCTCATACCGGCAGGGATTGTAGGTGGGGATTTTCACTTCACTTCATCAGTGCATTTTATAATAACTGTTTATATGATGTAATATATTAAAGGTGTCCTATTATGCTCTTTTACAAAGTTTTGATTTTGTTTTGGGGGGTGTACTAGAACAGGCTCTCATACTAGGTTGTTCGAAAAGCACATTATTTTTCACATATTTTACATTATTACAACACTTCTCTCCCCAGTCTGGCATGAACAGCTCGAATAGTTCCTGTATCAAATGAAAGCCCGCCTTCTCTAGTGCAGCTCAACCAGGTCTCGTCCCATTCGTCGGTATTTGTAATATCATAACAATTAATAATAACAATTTATGCATTTAGCAGACGCTTTTATCCAAAGCGACTTACAGTGCATTCAGGCTATATATTTTTTACCAGTATGCATATATAACATATATGTATATATAACGCTGAATTCATACGTCATCCGCCCGGAACTGCTTCAGTGTACAACTGTTGGCGCAAGCTTCATTAAAGTGATTATTACATTTTGAATATGGATATTTTTCTTACAAAAACGCATCGATTCGCTACAGGAGGCCTTTGTTCACGTGACTTGCTGTCACCTACTGGCAGTTTTAATTTCTAATTTTGACAATTTTTTTCATATTTTAAATTATTTCAAATATCAGTATTTAACGTTTTATGTTAAAAACAAAACATTAGGCTGTAACTGCAGTTTAAATGCATCCATGTCCCCTATGCAATACATAAACTGTGTAAATACATCTAAATGCTATTTCAGATGCAGATTCCAGAAATGTTTTCTTATGTTGGAATGAAAGACACTAAGTGCTGGATGAAGGGCTTCTTATTCTTACCCAAAAATACAAAATGGAAGAAAGAGTTAAAACTTAACACAATCTTGCTACTCAAGCGGTGTATGAACATTTTTTATTTATATTTATTTGCTTCTTTTCCATTTTGCATTTACTTGTACTTTTACTGTCAATACTTAAGTACATTTAAGATTAAAAAAAAACCTTTTTGTACTTAAGTATAATAAATATACCATACTTAAAGCCTTTACTTCAAGTCTTTCAGGTACTTTATACACCACTAGTGATAACAGAACTCCAACCGTTTCACCATTTGTATCACTCCGCTTGCGGTATGTCTCACAGCGAGTGTCATGGCGGACACCCAAATCCACTATAATTTTAGAAATAATACTGTTTTGTGTCACAGAATGTAGTTTTAAGCGCCGTTCAGCGCTCATGAACCCACCGAGAGCAGCCTTACCTTGGCCAGTTCTTATGGAATTTGCCGCTGGCTGTGACGCATCTATAGTGGTTAAACATGAAATATAATTAGTTTAGGGTAAATTCAATGGGCAGTCTTTATATGCCATTTAAATGCAGCTGTCACTTCCGAAAATTTGTAGTGTGAATGTGGCCACAGGTCCTCTTAGCAACATGAAAATTAAATCAATGAAGCTGTAAGTCTTTTCCTCGCAAGCTAATTGGTTCTACATTCTCACAATCGAAGTTGACTACACTGCAGTGAATCGCTTATTTAATTCTACACTTTAGGGCTTTTCACACTGCATTTAACCCTGGGTTATCGTAGTTTAGAACCCTGCTTTTAACCCTGGCTAAAGGAATGTTTCATAAAAGGAGTGGGTTAAAACCACTTTTTAAACAGGGTTATGAAACCCTGCTCCAGAGAAGGGTTAGTGTCGCTTTCGCATTGCTAACCCCGCATTGTGGTGCCAAAATTATACAATGTGAAATGACACCGAGTTAGAATGTTACAACTAGACGCTTATCAACCAATCACATGCCTTATATTCACGTGCTTTGGACAGTCACAGAAACACCACGTATATGAATGGTAAATGGTGATGGAAAATATATGAATTGGAGTGAAGAAAGTTAAATTTTTACCATTACAGGCTGAAAAGTCAATTCACTGTAAAAAAACAATTTGTTAGGTCAACTTAAAAAAACTTTTTTTTGTTATCGTAATTTATTTTTTGGGTGTGATTCAGTTGTTTTTTGTGTTGAAACAACATTCATACTAGTTCATTCAACTTTCAGATTAGTTGAGGGCCAATAAACTTGTACAGAATGCGATATGAGGATGTTAGAATGCTAGAGCCTTGATGTAAACAGGTTGTGTGCTGTCTCCAATCAATGACACTGACACCACAACTATGCAAATAAGAATGTTAACCCGGGGTTTAGGAATATACAGTGTCAATCCCAGGTAAATTATGAGCATTGTGAAACGTTAAGCAAGATAACTTATTTCCTTTTGACATTGATCAGAGTGTGCGTTAATGCAAACCCGCCAAAATGTCAACACCAATTTTTATAAAAACATTTTATGAGTATTATATTATCCTTTACATAAAAACAAATATTGATACCTCTGATAGTGGAACGGTCCACGGGAGCAAATGGACATCCAGTATGTTTTCTTTCTGTCTCTCAGTTATTGGTCGCAGAAAGACAAGTACTTGGGCAAAGACAGGGGAAGGAGGAAAGATCATCCTTTTTATGAGCCCAAAGATGGAGAGGTCTTTGATGTAAATCATAAAACAATATATGTCTTAGATATCATGCTTTGAAAATTAGCGTCGGGTAAAATAGCATTATAATCTCCTTTGGTAGAAAAAGCTGCTTACATGTGGCTACACGGGGAGTAACAGAGAATATGTTGAATGTTTAAACGTAAACACAGCTCATGAGTCTTAATCAGCTTTTCCGCATGTACATACGGGCCCTGATAATCAGAGGTGGGACCAAGTCATTGTTTTGCAAGTCACAAGTAAGTCTCGAGTCTTCGCATTCAAGTCTCGAGTCAAGTCCCGAGTCAAGACAGACAAGTCCCAAGTCAAGACAGGCAAGTCCAAGTCGAGTTGCAAGACCTATATCTAAGCCAATGAGACATTATTTGGAGCCTCAATGAAACCGATTTAAAAATATGTGAGCGGAAACGCAGAAAGAACTGCTTTGAAATAACTCGAAGAAATAACTGCAAGCATACTTTGCAAGTGAGAGGAAACATGCAAGATGGATGCAGACAAACTCATGA